TGAAGGTGCGCTAAAAGGGCCATTAGGAGGAATCACATCAATACTGTTCCTACATGTACTTGTCATTTTGCAGGAGATCTGAATTGAGTGTGAGGACGAGAGCATTACTCACCGCACGCTGTAACATGATTCATCCAAAACACTGAGATCAGTGTCGGAGGTGAACTCCTGATCCTGTGAGACTTATTACAGATATGTTTCTGACAGGCGACAATCAAACCTGCCTTGATTAAGTGAATGTGCGTCGGCAAATCGCACATATATTTGACAGCTCAGTTTCAGGGAGTGCAGAAAGGTGATCTGGCACTGATCAAGGAACGGGGAAACATGCATTATCATCTCCTGTGATTTCTGAAGTCTCCTCAGAATGGATGGATGGAGGACAAACTATTTACAGAAAAGAAAATTGGATATCCTCCTTCAGGAGGAGGAAGAAGGGAAAAAATAGTGAATGTGATTCTTGGAACAGATGCTGAGGCCAAGGAGGATGAAAAAAAATTGACAGTGTTCCCTATCACAGTTAGGCCCAGTCGTAACTCAATCTCCTTCTGCAAAGAGACAAGTTCGCCTGAAGGTAAAGGTCAGAAAGTTTTGGGGTTGGTGTTAAAACTGTAGTCTTTGATGAGAAAACAAAACAAAACCAAATTCTCGTTGATCTTTTCAGGACCCTAGAAGTTTGCAGATGTTAATGTTACATAAAATGTTTTCACCCAGATCATTGGAGCTCAGCTGGTGGAACGTTTATCATGGCTGTGTATAAAAGGAGCATCAATCAAAGGCTCAGTCTCTGCAAGTTAGCAGAATGTAGTTATTACACTGAGAAGAGATTAAGGTAGCAGGAAGAAATCTCTGTTCAAAGACCCAAGATGGAAGCATCTGCTTCACAAAAATTACTGGACATTGGACAGTGTGCATGTTTGATCGATATCTGTTGAATCTGTCTGGCACATGGTGAAGAGAAGAAGCTGACAAATCCAAATCTTCTCCAGCTCCAAACAGGCCTTTGTTTTGGGTTCTTCTTGGAACTCTTCACTCGTCACTCACTAAATGGTCACTATTGACCACAAATGTTTGAATTAAAAGATTTAAAAAAATTCAAGAGGTACCAGTCATGTGGTTGAGTGCTGAAGAAAACAGCCTGCATCCTGACACTGATTAAAAATGTATCTCCCTGTGCTCCAAAAATACTGCTGGAAATCCATCCGTGCAGTTTATCATTATTAGCTGTGAATTACACTTTTCTCCAAGTGTACCTTCTCCACTATAACAGTAAAGCTCCAGACTCTCAATCCAGTCAATAAATAAACTTCAGTTTGATACAGCCGCCATGTAGAATTGTCATCGTTTTGTTTCTCCCATTCACTACTGCGTCATGGTCAATTCAGTGCTTAGACTGGAGTGCGAAGAGAAACAGCATTGAGGAAAAAATAATGAATTCCCTTTTTCTTTCAACACATGGATTTGAAAGAAAATCCATGTGTCTACTGGATTTAACCATAAGTGTGTTATTTCATAAGGACTTGTTGTGGCATCCCTCATTTACATGTCACAAACATACACAAAAGAGACCAGGAGATGTTGAGCCATTGTAAGATATTGAGTTGAAAAACACCACTACATCACATTATCTCAGTGGACGTGGGGGCAGAGGAGTGCATGGTTTACAAGCATCAATCTCTCACCAAAAAATACTTCTTAACTTAGAAAAAAAAGAAATGAAATGTCAATGTAAACCCTTAAAATATGATATATAATAAAAATTGTTTATCTAATATAACTTTTAGGACTTGATGTATAACAAATATATGAAACTGTTCTAACTCAATTGGGATTCTAGAAAAGTGAGATTTACATTTGACATTCTTGCATCTTACTCAGATAAATATATGCATGAGTGCAATGCGTGTCCAGTTTCTAGTCGGGCGATGCTTATACAGGTGAAGCAGCATGGCTACTGTTGTGGACACAGAAACAGAGCCTGTGACTACTGCAGGAAATCATTACCACTTGCATGTACGTGTTTGGTCTACCTGCAGTCCAGATTAGAGCTGATCCGCTCAGAATCACTCGGGTTAAAGATTTAAATCTTCAAAGTGACTAAGAAATC